GAGCCCAGGTTTGGTAAAGCCATGTGTGTGTGTGTGTGTGTGTGTATGTGTGTGTGTGTGTGTGTGTGTGTGTGTGTGTGTGTGTGGTGTTTTATTTGATGTAACCGCTTGTGTGCTATCTTTATTGGATAATTGTGTTAAGGTCTTGGTTTTGTCCTCTTTATTGCCGGTGAAATCCAGCCATGAGATATCTTATTGCTCTATTTCACTATTCTACATTTAATTTATTAACAATTTATCTATTTCTCTATCCAATTCTAGATGTACTTTATTAGGTAAGAAGGCTATAGAGATGTATTCTATTTGAATAGTTTATTCGTCTTAAGTTTAAAATAAATCATTTAAAGAATTCTTTAAACAGTTGGAAAGGATTGAGAAAATATGGCGAAGGGGAAAAGCCCTGCTTGTGGTCGTATTGACTTAGCAGGCTGCAATGGGATGGTGTTGGGGGTGAGGGGTTGGGGTGAGGGGTTGAGGGCACCTGCTGAGGGGTTCCATGAAGAGCGCCCATCAGTCCTAACCCAGGTATCGTCAGCGTCAGACAATCGAGATGGTTCTTGAACCTTGCGAGAGCGGGCTACAGCTCGTCTACTCCACACTATGGTCACTATCATTTATTTCCTGTCATCGAACTCCTCGGAGGAGCTGAAGGATCCCTGAGCGCCGTTGGCAGCCACGCCGTCAGCAGTGGCGGGAACGGCGTTGGACTCCAGGACGCGGTACCCGTCTTCGTCAGCGATGTACTTGACGAAGTGTTCCACGCCTTCAGGAGACGTCCACCTGGAACAAACCACCAATAAACAGATAGATTATTTTTGTTCTTAAATCTCTGCCATCGTTATCTTTGTTGAATTGCAATTTTACCATATTTGACAAATACAATATTTGTTTAAGACTCGACAGTTGGACGTACCTGTAGGTGCCGGTGAAGGTGGTGTCGTCGTCGAGGTCCTGGTCGTGGTGGATGTCGTCGAGGTCGAGGTCAAGGACGGTATCTGGGCGGGCGGCGACCAGGGCGGCCAGACCCAGGAGGACGAGCACCTGACGGAGGGAGAGATCGAGGTAATACTCAGGAGAACGATAACGAGTGAGAGAGATTATGATAACAGGTGAGAAGTATTGTACTTGAGAGTGATGAGAATGTCAAGGGGATATATTGCCTTAAGCCACCTAAAATTATTGTACAACAATGTAATTGTTATATTACAATAAACCGGATGAACTATGCCCAATTATACCATTATTTAGAGCGGAGGAATTACGTCAATATAAGACCGACACCAACATCTATATTACGGAGAGCGTGAAGGGCGCTCAACGCCCCTATATTTGTTAGGACAGACCCCATACATGTGTCCCCTAGCCAGCCAGGCCTCCCCACCCGGCCCCCATGGTAGAGAGAGAGAGAGAGAGACTTACTATGGCGTTCATGGTGATGGTGGAGGGAGTGATGGTGGACGTGGGGGCCTCTCAGGCTATATACCAGCTGGTCAAGCCACGCCCTCCCGCGGGTCATCAATGTTCTCACGGCTACCGGAGATGGTGTCGTCAATACTATGATGACCTTTTTAAAGTCTGCCTTATTGGCGAAACATTTCGTGCTCCAGATATGTATCATATATGTATAATATATATATCTGATTGGTGCTAGTGATCACGTTGGAAGAGGAAGGAAAATACAATATAACAAAAAATGCAAAAACAAACACAATATTAAAAATCATTTAGAATAATCAAATTTGTAAATTAATGAAAGAGGTTTGTGTAATGCACAAGAGGTAGCCAGCGCAGCTCAGCTTGAGCAGCGGGTCGAGGTTATCACCTCCCAGGTAATGTAACACTGCGGCTTTTTCTCCAATCGTCTTAAATATCGTGTTGAAACCAGCACCCGCCCCTGTTACAAGCACCCACACAACCAGCACCCGCCCCTGTTACAAGCGCCCCACACAACCACCACCCGCCCCTGTTACAGGCACCCCACACAACCACCACCCGCCCCTGTTACAGGCACCCACACAACCACCACCCGCCCCTGTTACAAGCGCCCCACACAACCACCACCCGCCCCTGTTACAGGCACCCACACAACCACCACCCGCCCCTGTTACAAGCGCCCCACACAACCACCATCCGCCCCTGTTACAAGCGCCCCACACAACCACCACCCGCCCCTGTTACAGGCACCCTGCGCAGCCATCACCCGCCCCTGTTACAAGCATAATTCAGGGACACACTGACTTCTAATATTACTTCTACAGCTGCCACTTCGACTGTAACAACAGCGATTAATTCCACAATTACCTCTCCTGCAACTGTTCTCGCTGCTGTACCCGCCGCTTCTACATCAGCTTATCCAGCTGAAAACGCAACTGACTCCAAAATTTTCTGTTCTATCAAAAACCCTTTGATGTAGTACTGCACAGTAGACTGGTAGTCTAACTTCAGAGGCAGACGGGAGTAAGCAGAAAAGCCCTATCTTGAGTAAGGAACTACCTAACAGGAAGGAGCCAGAGAGTAACGGTAAGGGGTAACATGTCGCACTGGCGAACAGTAACGAGTGGAGTACCTTAGGGATCAGTGCTGGGCCCAGTTCTATTTTTAATATACGTAACCGACATGTCTACAGGAGTCGAGTCCTATATGTCGATATTTGCGGATGACGCGAACGGAGAGAATAGATATTATGTAGGAAATCCTCATGTGACAGATGAGGATTGTAGGATCCTCCAAGAGGACTTGAACAAGTTGCAGAGATGATCAGAAAAAATGATTAGTGGAGTTCAACACGAGCAAATGTAAAGTTATGGAAATGGGATTAGGTGATAGGAGACCAAAGGAATAGTACACAATGAAGGGGAACTACCTACCTGTGACGACTCGAGAAAGAGACCTGGCAGTGGACGTAACACCTAATCTAACTCCTGAGGCACATATAAATAGGATAACGACAGCAGCGTACTCTACACTGGCAAAAGGTATAGCATTATTCAGAAACCTAAGTAACTTTTCATTGCCTACGGGAGACTAGTCTTAGAATATGCCGCGCTATCATGGAGCCCCCACCGGAAAAAACACATAAGGAAACTGGAAAGGGTTCAGAAGTTTGCGAGGAGGATCATCCCAGAGTTACGAGGGATGGGAGGGTGAAGAGCAACTAATGGAACTGAACCTGACGACACTAGACAAAAGGCGGGAGCGGGGAGATATGATAGGAACATATAAACTACTTATGGGGATTGACAGAATGGAAATAGACGAAATGTTCGACACTGAATGCCAGCAGAACAATGGGGGACATGTGTCGACTCATTTGAGATGGAAACAGATGAGTCATAGAGACGTTAGAAAGTTAGAAAAATGGATTGAAATAAAGGAGCACATCGTGGATCAAACTTTATTCATCGTTCTAAAAGTAGATATGACAAAGAATTAGAAAAGGAGTCATTGCTTTAATCAACCGACGGCTAGAAAGGCGGGATCCAAGAGTCAATGTTCGATCTTGCAGGCACAAATAGGAGAGTACATATAGGAATGCACACACACACATACAAACATGCATATCCCCAAGAAGAACCCGGAAGCCGCTGTCTAACTCCCAGGTACCTATATACTGCTAGGTGAACAGGTTCATCAGATGAAAGAAACTCGGTCCATTTGTTTCTGCCTCGGCCAAGAATCGAACATGGGTCCTTAGGACTACGACCCCCGAGCGCTGTCCACTCAGCAGCGAGGCCCCCCTATATATGTGTGCGTGCATATGTGTTTTGTGTATCATCAAGGTATCTGTAAGTCTCGCAGTTCTCAAGTGCTCGCCCATCTATATGATAATTGGGTGGTGGAATACCACATAGAATGAGAGTACAAGTTTTCTGTACAGAGATAAGGAGGCCACATTCCTCAGCTCTAGTAGCAAAAGCATCGAGCAGAACTGACACTCTAGGCTCAGAGGCAGCCTGTAAACATATATCATCAGCATAACAAATGAGCGTGTCTTCATTATTAGTTGGAAGATCTTTAATAAGTTCATGCATTAGAAAGTTGAATAACAAGGAGCTGAGGACCCCTCCTTGTGGAGTTCCCAGTTCAAAGTGTTTACTCTCTGTGCTTTTAACACCATTAAACAAAACATATGCTGTTCGATTAGACAAATAGCCCTTTATCCATTTCAGTAATTTTCCTTGTATTCCTTGCTTAACAAGTCCTCCTGCTGTGCTCGTCTAAGCAGTGGCCGACCCCAACCCGTCCACAGGCTGTTGTTATTATTCTGAAAGAAAGACTCGACTGGATACAAGTTCGCTTTGTCGAAGTGCAGGTCACATCCTAAATGGTGCTTGCACTAGGCACTTTGCAAGGATTTATGTTTCAATACTAGATGGAACGGGATTGCATTTTGGAAGAATTGTCATTTGAACTTCACAAAGATTCAAATGGATTGGATTTTGGATTTTACAAAGCTTGGTATTTCAATGTTAGAAGGACTGGGATTGGGTTTTCCAGAACTGTAATTTTCATTTCATACTGATTGTTTTTTGATGATTCTTGCATTTTGAAAGTATCTTTCTTCACTTCAGAGATTACAGAGAGCTATGAACCCAAATACTGCTTGGCCTTCGAGAAAGGCCAATGCTACCAAGACACTTTATTCCTTAGGCCCCAGCATCAGAAGAAATTACCTAAGGGTTAAGAAATGTAATCCCTAGGTGAAGTGCCCCTTAGCACAGGCGCTCTAACAACGCTGATGACAGTACCAGCTGCCAACGGTGTCCCAGCAGCAAAGAACCTCCACTGCCATCCTTGCAGCGTCTGCCACCAATAGCAGGAAATAGCAAACACTATCAATTTTAATGTTTTGATTTTAATTTTCAGAATAATCCATAAATTACAATAAATAGAATTAAATTCAGAGAGAGAGAGAGAGAGAGAGAGAGAGAGAGAGAGAGAGAGAGAGAGAGAGAGAGAGAGAGAGAGAGAGAGAACAGAAAGTCTTTGGAGAAAGATTGAAAGGCGGGAACTAAGACAGTAGTCGCAGCCTCTCTTAGAAGTGACCAGGTTAACTCATCACAGTTGATGCCAGCAGGCAGCGTTCAGCTTCTCTAGTTAAGCGAAGCTGTTACTTAGCGTTCAGTTTCCTGGATAAGTGAAGCTGTCTGTGTCACTGAGTAATGTTGAGAGACAGGCGAATGTCAGTAGCTTATTAGTTCCTGTCGAACTCCTCGGAGGACACGAAGGATCCCTGAGCGCCATCAGCCTTGACGCCGTCAGCGGTGACGGGGACGGCGTTGGACTCCACGACGCGGTAACCGTCTTCGTCAGCGATGTACTTGACGAAGTATTCCACGCCTTCAGGAGACTTCCAGCTGGAAAGGAATATTCAGTTAAATGCTGGTTGCAACTATTAAAAATCAGAGCTGGAGAGAGAGAGAGAGAGAGAGAGAGAGAGAGAGAGAGAGAGAGAGAGAGAGAGAGAGAGAGAGAGAGAGAGAGAGAGAGAGAGAGAGAGAGAGATAGAGAGAGAGAGAGAGAGAGCGAGAGCGAGCGAGAGAGAGAGAGAGGAGAGAGAGAGAGAGAGATAGAAGAGAGAGAGAGAGAGAGAGAGAGAGAGAGAGAGAGAGAGAGAGAGAGAGAGAGAGAGAGAGCGAGAGAGAGAGAGAGAGAGAGAGAGAGAGCGAGAGAGAGAGCGAGAGAGTAGAGAGAGAGAGAGAGAGAGAGAGAGAGATAGAGAGAGAGAGAGAGATAGAGAGAGAGAGAGAGAGAGAGAGAGAGAGAGAGAGAGAGAGAGAGAGAGAGAGAGAGAGAGAGAGAGAGAGAGAGAGAGAGAGAGAGAGAGAGAGAGAGAGAGAGAGAGAGAGAGAGAGAGAGAGAGAGAGAGCGAGAGAGAGAGCGAGAGAGAGAGAGAGAGAGAGAGAGAGAGAGAGAGAGAGAGAGAGAGAGAGAGACAGAGACAGAGACAGAGACAGAGACAGAGAGAGAGACAGAGAGAGACAGAGCGAGACAGAGCGAGATACAAACATACATATATAGACAAGAACATTACTTTAAAATTTCATTCTTTAGGTCCAGGTGTCTTCAGGGATGTCGGTGTGAGACCCACCTGTAGGAGCCGGTGACGGAGGTGTCGTCGGCGATGTCGAGGTCGTGGCGGATGTCGTCCAGGTCGAGGAGAGTGTCGGGTCGGGCGGCGACCAGAGCCACCACGCCCAGGAGCACCAATACCTGACGGAGGCGAAGATCACAGCAATCAGCCAAGAAACAGAAGAACAATGAAATATAAGATAACTTACCTTAAAGATAACAGGATTCAAGCTCAACTCACGGAAATATATCAGAAGTTTCTGTACATTCTTGTAATCCATAATGTAAACAATATATTACAGCCTAGAACTCATAAAGAAAATTAATAAAGTATTTATAACAAGTTAACTCTTTTAGCGAGACTCAAAAGTTGATGTAAAGTGCACAGAATGTCAGAAGAATTGATTTTGGCTATAATGATCTATCAAGGATTTTCCGTGTCAGGTTTCTACAGAGGGTCACTACTACCGCTCCCACCATGAGGGCCACTACTTCACCTCCCTGCATTAGGGTCACAACCCCCACCACCCCACCAGGAGGGCCACAACCTCACCAGGAGGGCCACAGCTCCCACCACCCCACCAGGAGGGCCACCACCTCACCAGGAGGGCCACCACCCCTCTAGGAGGGCCACCACCCCACCAGGAGGGCCACCACCCCACCAGGAGGGCCACCACCACACCAGGAGGGCCACCACCCCACCAGGAGGGCCACCACCACACCAGGAGGGCCACCACCACACCAGGAGGGCCACCACCACACTAGGAGGGCCACCACCCCATCAGGAGGGCCACCACCACACCAGGAGGGCCACCACCACACCAGGAGGGCCACCACCACACCAGGAGGGCCACCACCACACCAGGAGGGCCACCACCACACCAGGAGGGCCACCACCCCACCAGGAGGGCCACCACCCCACCAGGAGGGCCACCACCTCACCAGGAGGGCCACCACCCCACCAGGAGGACCACCACCCCACCAGGAGGGCCACCACCCCACCAAGAGGGCCACCACCCCACCAGGAGGGCCACCACCCCACCAGGAGGGCCACCACCCCACCAGGAGGGCCACCACCCCACCAGGAGGGCCACCACCCCACCAAGAGGGCCACCACCCCACCAGGAGGGCCACCACCCCACCAGGAGGGCCACCACCCCACCACGAGGGCCACTACTCACACCACACTTCATGACGGCTGATTGGGGGTCGGTGGTAGAGGAGCGTGTGATGGAGACGTGTGGTGGTCACCGGCTTTATACACCGTCTCCCTGAACCAGGGCAACAACTGCCAGGACCCCACAATCGCCAGATACAATCCTCCCCTCCCGACACAACATGCTTGTATCACAACACACACACCAATGTCCGCAAACCACACACACACACACGCACACCACCTCAACAGAAAGAAACATTTTACTCGGTGTTTTTTAAGTTCATAATACAAGTTTAAAGAACTGGAAAGCAATTGCCAGCAACTGCACCGTGTTATGACGAGGTGAATGTCATCTTGGGTTCATAATCGCCTGTGACTGTGCTTCTGACGAGGGGGGGAAATGACCTAGCTTACTCGACCTGCAGCCGCAGGAGCAAAAAAAAATTCCGTCATAAGTGCCCTGGCGTGGTCTTGAAGGGCGTGCATGGCGCGTCCTCTGGCTCCAGCAGGAGGCAGAAACGTCTCGTCAGTCAAAATGGTAAAAGTCTCAAGGTTATGTACACACACACACACACACACGCCATAAAAGACGAGGCGTCTGCTTCAACATATGCAGAACCCGCATATGTTCACATGAGATAAATACATGTTGATAGTCATGTTTTTTTTTGTTTCAGTAACATATGTAGAGCAGACTCCTCGCCCAGGCGGGGCCTACATGTTTCTAAAGGTCATCTAAGCTGCAATTATTACATTCATATGATGAAATCACAAGCTCATATTTGTATAGTTACAAACGATGTTTTCAGTGTATACATATAATGCATGTATCTTTACTTTAAGAAAAAATGTATATATTCTTATCTGTCTGTCTGTTTGTCTGTTCAAAGTTGGTGGCCTATATAGTACATATATTTTTCTAGGATAAATATGAATGGGAATAGTTGTTTATCTGTCAGTCTGTCTATCTATCCAGGGATAAAGACCCTACATTTGGGGCTAGCTTCACGCAGTTCTTTCCAGTAATTGCTGTTGGGTGTGTTCCCAACATGGACAGGTTGGTATTGACAGTAAAAAAAAAATATTATTATTATTACTATTATTATTATTATTATTATTATTATTATTATTATTATTATTATTATTATTATTATTATTATTATTATTTTTATTATTATTATTGTTATTAACCTTATCAGAAACTCGATTCGCTGATCATACCAATATTTAACAAAAATCTATTTATTGTATTTAGCCTTTAAGCCCACTAAAACTTTGAAGATATGATATTTTCCTCTTATTTTTTTCAGACTTTGTGGATTGCGTATTGATGAAGCAAATATGTGTGAAGTGTTGGTGCAGTGTTGAGCTTGGTGATGGTGTAGGAGTGAGAGGTGGAGATGGAGGGAGAGCGAAGGAAGAGACATGGGAGGGAAGGGAAGGGAAGAGGTGAGTTTAAGGAAGTAGAATGGCAATAGGGAGAAAGAATAGGGGAGATGGTCAGGTGGGAGAGGGGAGAGAGTGAGGTAAGAGTGTAGAGAAGAAGGGGGAAATGAGGGGGAGGGAGGGAGGGCAGAAGAGAGCCGGTCTATATGCATCTCTGGTATTAACCTGCAGATGGCAAGGCGTCCATAACCCGACTCTGGGGGTTGTGTTACAACAACAACAACCTCTCGTCAAGCGCTAAGTGTATTCAATGGTGTACTTTTACACACTCATCGGTAAAATCAAAAGCCGTCTCAACGTGTCATCCGGATTCGACCCTGACGATCCAGTAGGGGGGGGGGGCAACACCTGCCCCAAGAAGGTGAAGGGACGACGACGTTGAGAATGGTCCAGGACGGACCGAAACGTCATCGTCCCTTCACCTTCTAGTGTGTGGTCTGGTCAACATACTTTAGCCACGTTATTGTGACTCATCGCCTACACCTGCCCCAAGTCAAAGCGTGAATTGCACAAGACAGCCGGAAGTTAATCCTTGGGCGAATCTTGACGGATATTATGTTTCACTGATTAATTAATTGAAAGAAAAGAAAAATCTGTGAGTTATTATTAATATCTTGGCCTTGTGAAGAGTAGGGTTTATTAAAGAGGTTGAGAATACCCGGGGTTATGGGAGCCTGGGACAAGATTCACGAAAGCACTTACGCAAGCACTTACGAACGTGTACATCTTTCCTCAATCTTTGACGGCTTTGTTTTCATTTATTAAACAGTTTACAAACATAAAAACTACCCATTCAACTGTTGTTATTGTTATAAACAGCCTCCTGGTGCTTCGGAGCTCATTAACTGTTTAATAATTGGAAACAAAGCCGCGAAAGATTGAGCAAAGATGTACAGGTTCGTAAATGCTTTCGTGAATCTGGTCCCTGAGCCGTAAGAAGGATGAAAGTTATACCCCCCCCCCCATCCAGTTCGGTGGAATCAATAAAGGTGATCCTAAATTTCTCAAAGAAATTTAAAAGTCAAAGTCTCGCGGTGAGAAAGAACTACTCTCTTTGGGATTAGATTTCGGTTCGGTGTGTGTAAAAAAAAAAAAAAAATAAACAAATAATTATCTGAGTTTCGAGCACATATGATATATGGCATATGTATGGCATATACATTAACACATTTTACTTTGAGAACTGGTACATACTTTAGTTCAACAAATGTTGTTAGTGCTGTCTTCTCTAACACACCAGGTCTCTGATGATCTCCACAGGAGACGAGAGAGGTATTAAATAATATATACAGAGGAAAATACTGCAGGGGCAAGGTTCCAAATTTGCACAGTAGAATAACAACACACTGCAGTGAACGATATCGAAGGAAATGCAGAAAAGAACCTGGGAAGAGTAGATTGTATTGATTGTGCCTATGGCACAATCAAGCATTTCTAGAATTACTTCGGTTTATAACTGTATTTTTGAATGAATTGACTGACTGTTGAATAATCGTCAAATTCCAAATTGTTTGATTAACTTTGTACGTAGAGAGTGTGTTTTTGTCCTTTACTGATGTATAATTAAATGTCATTGTACTAGCTCTTATTTTGTAGTAAGTGAAGCTCTACTGACTCTGGACTTCTTGTTTGTGAGTTTTAATTTGTGATGTTCTCTGTGTTTTAAATCTGATGATGAATAAGTTGATTATTCGAAACGTCATGATGATTTTAATTAAAAGTAAACATTTAGAAGATGTATGTCAGGTTAATTGTCATCCTTTAATCATATATATATATATATATATATATATATATATATATATATATATATATATATATATATATATATATATATATATATATATATATATATATATATATATATATATATATATATATATATATATATATATATATATATATATATATATATATATATATTTTATTAAATATGACCGAAAAAGTAAGATTAATAATTCTAACACGAATTTTCTCAATCTTTCGTACATTATGCTTCACTGTTGGAGGTAAATCAAAAATCACTTCTCCAAAATTCATTTTTATTTCTAGTCTGACGCGACACGGGCGCGTTTCGTAAAACTTATTACATTTTCAAAGACTTCACAAATACACAACTGATTAGAACTTGCATTTCCCTGATTTTATATCTACATTTGAGTGAGGTGGGAAGGGTGATGTGGCATTACATTTGAGTGAGGTGGGAAGGATGATGTGGCATTAGAGGATATTAATAGGGTATTAAAAGTATCAACACAAGACAGAACACGAAACAATGGATATTGAATAGAAGTGTTTGTAGAAAGCCTATTGGTCCATATTTCTTTATGCTTCTATATTGGAGCGGAGTCTTGAGGTGGGTAGAATATAGTTGTGCAATAATTGGCTGTTGATTGCTGGTGTTGACTTCTTGATGTGTAGTGCCTCGCAAACGTCAAGCCGCCTGCTATCGCTGTATCTATCGATGATTTCTGTGTTGTTTACTAGGATTTCTCTGGCGATGGTTTGGTTATGGGAAGAGATTATATGTTCCTTAATGGAGCCCTGTTGTTTATGCATCGTTAAACGCCTAGAAAGAGATGTTGTTGTCTTGCCTATATACTGGGTTTTTTGGAGCTTACAGTCCCCAAGTGGGCATTTGAAGGCATAGACGACGTTAGTCTCTTTTAAAGCGTTCTGTTTCGTGTCTGGAGAGTTTCTCATGAGTAGGCTGGCCGTTTTTCTGGTTTTATAGTAAATCGTCAGTTGTATCCTCTGATTTTTAAAAATCAGAGGATACAACTGACGATTTACTATAAAACCAGAAAAACGGCCAGCCTACTCATGAGAAACTCTCCAGACACGAAACAGAACGCTTTAAAAGAGACTAACGTCGTCTATGCCTTCAAATGCCCACTTGGGGACTGTAAGCTCCAAAAAACCCAGTATATAGGCAAGACAACAACATCTCTTTCTAGGCGTTTAACGATGCATAAACAACAGGGCTCCATTAAGGAACATATAATCTCTTCCCATAACCAAACCATCGCCAGAGAAATCCTAGTAAACAACACAGAAATCATCGATAGATACAGCGATAGCAGGCGGCTTGACGTTTGCGAGGCACTACACATCAAGAAGTCAACACCAGCAATCAACAGCCAATTATTGCACAACTATATTCTACCCACCTCAAGACTCCGCTCCAATATAGAAGCATCAAGAAATATGGACCAATAGGCTTTCTACAAACACTTCTATTCAATATCCATTGTTTCGTGTTCTGTCTTGTGTTGATACTTTTAATACCCTATTAATATCCTCTAATGCCACATCATCCTTCCCACCTCACTCAAATGTAATGCCACATCACCCTTCCCACCTCACTCAAATGTAGATATAAAATCAGGGAAATGCAAGTTCTAATCAGTTGTGTATTTGTGAAGTCTTTGAAAATGTAATAAGTTTTACGAAACGCGCCCGTGTCGCGTCAGACTAGAAATAAAAATGAATTTTGGAGAACTGATTTTTGATTTACCTCCAACAGTGAAGCATAATGTACGAAAGATTGAGAAAATTCGTGTTAGAATTATTAATCTTACTTTTTCGGTCATATTTAATAAAATATGTCTACAGGAAAGACTGCTACCAAAATATATATATATATATA